CCTGCTGTGGCTAACACACTATGTATACACGGTTAGCCTACTGTGGCCAGCACACTATGTATGTACGGTTAGCCTGCTGTGGCTAACACACTATGTATACACGGTTAGCCTACTGTGGCCAGCACACTATGTATGTACGGTTAGCCTGCTGTGGCTAACACACTATGTATACACGGTTAGCCTGCTGTGTCTAACACACTATGTATACACGGTTAGCCTGCTGTGGCTAACACACTATGTATACACGGTTACTGTGGCTTATGTATACACAGTTAGCTGTGTGACTAACACACTATGTATACACGGTTAGCCTGCTGTGTCTAACACACTATGTATACACGGTTAGCCTGCTGTGTCTAACACACTATGTATACACGGTTAGCCTACTGTGTCTAACACACTATGTATACACGGTTAGCCTGCTGTGGCTAACACACTATGTATACACAGTTAGCCTGCTGTGACTAACACACTATGTATACACGGTTAGCCTACTGTGTCTAACACACTATGTATACACGGTTAGCCTGCTGTGTCTAACACACTATGTATACACGGTTAGCCTGCTGTGTCTAACACACTATGTATACACGGTTAGCCTGCTGTGTCTAACACACTATGTATACACGGTTAGCCTGCTGTGGCTAACACACTATGTATACACGGTTAGCCTGCTGTGGCTAACACACTATGTGGCTAACACACTATGTATGTACGGTTAGCCTGCTGTGTCTAACACACTATGTATACACGGTTAGCCTACTGTGGCTAACACACTATGTATGTACGGTTAGCCTACTGTGGCTAACACACTATGTATGTACGGTTAGCCTGCTGTGGCTAACACACTATGTATACACGGTTAGCCTGCTGTGGCTAACACACTATGTATACACGGTTAGCCTGCTCTGGCTAACACACTATGTATACACGGTTAGCCTGCTGTGGCTAACACACTATGTATACACGGTTAGCCTACTGTGGCTAACACACTATGTATGTACGGTTAGCCTGCTGTGGCTAACACACTATGTATACACGGTTAGCCTACTGTGTCTAACACACTTAGCACACATTATAGATTATTTTGCTTTAAATAAGCACTAAGCACTGTGTTAAAAGACTCAGAAGAACCACCCCTTCAGTGGCCCACTTTTATTCGCCGCATACGAATATACTATGAAATACAGCCACCCCAATAAGTGTGATCTGTCCAGTGAATAGAAGACATCGGAAACCGACCCTGATCTGCAAGGAACATGCAGTGAGATTCAGCAGGGATACTCTCCCCATTGTGTAACAACCCCTCCAAAACTAAGGTGATTTAGTGTTGTAAGGGGAACACTACACGATAAATGTTAACAAAGGAAAAAGATAGTAATCACCTTTGATTATGCCTCCTAAGATGAAATCAATCGATTATTCAGATGAAATATGTGATACTATACTATACTATACTATACTATACTATACTATACTACACTACACTACACTACACTACACTACACTACACTACACTACACTACACTACAGAGCGCTGTACTGTACTGCACAGTACTGTACTGTACTACACTATACTGCACTGCACTGAACTGCACTATACTGTACTGTACTATACTATACTATGCTGTACTATACTATACTCTACTATACTATACTATACTCTACTATATTATACTATACTCTACTATACTATACTATACTATACTATACTATACTATACTATACTATACTATACTATACTATACTATACTATACTATACTATACTATACTATACTATACTATACTATACTGTACTATACTATACTATACTGTACGGTACTGCACTGTAGTTCTGTACTGTACTGTACTGTACTATACTATACTATACTATACTATACTATACTATACTGTACTATACTATACTGTACGGTACTGCACTGTAGTTCTGTACTGTACTGTACTGTACTATACAGTACTGCGCTGCACTGCACTGCACTGTACTGTACTGTACTATACTCTACTATACTCTACTCTACTGTACTATACTATACTATAATATACTGTACTATACTGTACTGTACTATAATGTAAAGTACTGCACTGCACTGTACTGTACTGTACTGTACTGTACTATACTATACTGTACTATAATGTAAAGTACTGCACCGCACTGCACTGTACTGTACTGCACTACACTGTACTGTACTGTACAGTACTGTACAGTACTGTACTATACTATACTGTACTGTACTATATTGTACTGTACTGTAATGTACTTTACTGCACTGCACTTTAATGTTCTGTACTATACTTTGCTGCACTGCACTGCACTGTACTGTACTCTACTATACTCTACTCTACTCTACTATACTATACTATATTTTACTGTACTGCACTATACTGTACTATACTGTAATGTACTGCACTGTAATGTACTGTACTATACTGTACTGCACTTCACTGCACTGCACTCTACTGTACTGTACTGTACTGCACTATACTATACTCTACTGTGCTGTACTGTACTGTTCTGTACTGTACTATACTATACTATACTATACTATACTATACTATACTATACTATACTATACTATACTATACTATACTATACTATACTATAATATATTGTACTGTACTGTAATATATTGTACTGTACTGTAACTATACTATACTGTATTATACTATACTATACTGCACTATACTGTTCTATACTATACTATAGTATATTGTACTGTACTGTAATATATTGTACTGTACTGTAACTATACTATACTGTATTATACTATACTATACTGTACTATACTATACTGCACTATACTGTTCTATACTATACTATAATATATTGTACTGTACTGTACTATACTGTACTGTACTGTACTGTACTATATTGTACTGTACTGTACTGTACTGCACTGCACTGTACTGTACTATACTGTACTATACTATACTGTACTATACTGTACTGTACTGTACTGTACTGTACTGTACTGTACTGTACTATACTGTACTATACTGTACTGTACTATACTGTACTATACTATACTGTACTATACTGTACTGTACTATACTGTACTGTACTGTACTGTACTGTACTGTACTATACTATACTGTACTGTACTATACTGTACTATACTGTACTGTACTGTACTATACTGTACTATACTGTACTATATTGTACTGTACTGTACTTTACTGCACTTTACTGCACTGCACTGCACTGTACTGTACTGTACTGTACTGCACTGCACTGCACTGCACTGTACTATAATGCACTGCACTACACTGTATTGTACTGTACTGCACTACACTGTACTGCAATGTACTTACACCATACCACATTACACCACACCTACACTACACCACACCACAATACACATTACGCCACACTACACCATACCACACCACACCACACCACAATACACTACACCACACCAAACCACACCACACTACACAACACCACACTACACCACAATACACACTCTGCCATACCACACTACACCACACCTACACTACTCTCCACACCTATACTACACACCACACCACATTACACCACACCTACCCTACATTACACACTACACTACACATCACATCAAAACACACCACACAATCACTACACTAAACCACAATACACCACACCACACCACACTACACACTACACCACACTACACTACACCACACCACACCACACCACACCACACTACATCACACTAAACTACACCACACCACACCACACTACACCACACCACACCACACTACATCACACTACGCTACACCACACTACTCCACACCACACCACACCACACCACACCACACAACACTATACCACACCACACCACACTACACCACACTTCACCACACAACACCACACCACACTACACCACACTACACTACACTACACTACACTACATCACACTGCACTACACCACACCACACCACACCACACTACATCACACTACACTACACCACACTACACCATACCACACCACACCACACTACATCACACTACACCACACCACACAACACTACACCACACCACACCACACTACACTACACTATGCTGTGCTGTGTTGTATAGTACTGTACTATACTATACTAGTATTTCAAAAATGCAAGCGGTTTTTTATCATCATCATCATCATCATCATCATCATCATCATCATATTTTATAATTTGAGCTCACATTTTGTTCGATACTTTTACTGACAAATTCATTTCACAAAATCTTCAATAAAATACCGTCGACAAAATGTCGGCCACCACTATGTTTTCCCCCATGGTAGCCGCCTACCGTATGTCAGATTTGTGTTTAATATGTAAAGACCGAATGTCCTGCGTGAAACATTACACAATGGTATGCACAGGGTGCATAGAATACCCTACATAATTACATACAAATTGATATAACAATCCAGGATCTTAATGACAAGGCTATTCGAACAGGCGTTCTCTATTGAATATTATCTTGTCATTAAAGACAAATGTTATGATTTCATACCGATAAGAACAGATAAAAAAACTGGTATAAAACTTACATCGGAAATATATGTGGGTATGATAGTATCCAGTGGAATACACCTTCATACAGTGTAGTCGTAATTAACATGGGTACCTAACAGCTTTAAGAGACCAAATTTGAGTTCTACTATCCCATTGCTACATTTGGAATCTTATATTTTCTGTCCTTTCTGTCCATTCGTTTTCACCTCACGTGACCTTGGCTGTTGCGAGCACGTAAAGTGGTAGACAGAATGACGCAGAACGTAAATGCTCATAAGGAAATAAAGTTCATATAAAAAGAAAACTTCGAATTTTATGAATTGAAGCTGATCATTATTTTAAAGATCTAATGTAAATAAATATACGAAATACAAGTTACAACTGACAGTCTGATGTCAGCTAAAAAGTATTCTATGGTGTCTGATTTTACATCTGACAAATGACAAAGAGATATTATGTTAAAGCTGTTTTAGACTTAGTTTTGATATGCAATCTCATATTTCTTTTTGTATAATTTTAGATTTGTCATCTGGCTTTGTTTCCACTTAACATCTTCGTGTGATGGTGACGTCATGGCGTCCATATATGAGGGGGAAATTCCGCAGCCTCTTCAGAATATAGGTATATTTCTTAGTCATTCATGATTAAAGAAATTATGTAAAGATTTTTTATTTCCATGGTTCTCATTTCGGAACGTGACATTATATACTTTATGTGTTTTATATTGAACTACCGAAACAAGAGGAAATCGCATAGTAATTAAACGAATTTATTTGATCTAAGTTTAATGTATTAGTTGCATAAAATTTGCTGTGTTTAAAAAGTATTGTATTTATTTATTTTTAATTTACAGGTTGTCAGGATTTACTTATGACGGAAAACACATACAGTGGATGGCTTCGGAAACGTCATTTTGTAAACAAATATTCAATATTCAATTGTAAGTAAATACCTTTAAATAGGAAACTGGCCCCTGACAAATATTACAGCAAATAGTTAGTCTTTATTCCATATTGAAGCTACTACTGTGAGATAACGGTATAACCGGAATCTATAATAGTAACTGTTTACTTGATTGTCTCCGTTCCCTCCTGGGCCTGCAGCTAGCACTTCAGAATATAACTTTCTGTTCCCATTGAATGATTGGGATTTTTAAAATTACTTTTTTCTTCCTGTTTTTGCTTGTTTATTCCCTGCGAAATACGTTTATGGTGGATAATAATTTGGGCGTCCGTGCTTCCGTCCGAGGGCTTTTCAGTGCTGTAACTTCAAAACCATTCAACTCATTTTCATAAAAACTGCTGCATATATCAAGTTAGTGCCCCAGCTGTGCCTTTTGTTCTTGACAACATTTCGTTTTTCTTTTCAATGTGTTACCATGGAAACATAGCCAAAAATACCACAAAATTAGTGTTTACTTTGCTTTCCAGCTACAACTTCCAAACCATTCTACTCAACTCCACAAAACTTTCGGTATATATTAGTTTAGTCTCCTAGTTGTGCTTTTTTTCTTAATGAGGACATTATATTATTTATCTTTTTTCTATTACCATACATTTATTTCGATTTATTGTGACTTCTCGTAGTACTCCAGAGCTTATACAGTGTTGCATTAATTTGTTCATGGACAATACCAAGCTCTATTCAAATATCAACAGTCAAACACACAGGATCTGCATCAAGATATAAACTTTACTATAAGGTTGATATACATGTATAAGATAATATATAAAATGTTGAAATTGAGGAGACGCAAGGAAATTTAATTGATATATTTTTAGGTTTTACACCAACATCTTGGTACAGGGGATAATGCCACGCTTTGCGGCTCCTTGTTTTGTTTGTTGAATCAAGCGTTCGCCTAAGTAAGGAATGATATTGGTTCTGTCCCAACAGCCATGACGTATCAAAGTCATTAAAATGATACTTCGTGCTCAAATTTGTTCACTCAGCATTGATAAAGATTCAACGATGACTGATTAACTCATTGCCAGTCTAACGTGTCTGTTTTTTGTGTCATGGTGCCGTGTCAAGGATATGACATTTCAGTATGACAGAACTATAGAGACGTCCGATCATCCGTAGCCAATGTCTTCTGGCGGTTGCGAAGACGTAAAGGTTATCATATATAGGGGTGGCATTACCCCGCACATGTTGAGTAATATGACAGACTCGAAAATAAAATTCACTTAACCCGAAAGTGTGTTAGTGGTGTTACAAAGTATGTACATATTAAATTGTCGTATCCCTTCCTTATTTGATAGCTCATGTGTAGTTGTGACTGCAGGATACAAGGAAATACATAACGAAGCAAGTACAATGTATTGAGATAGTAACTCAGTTATCATTACATGCTAGTCGAGTCGGACATATAATAGAAAACAATTATGACGAAATCTCTATAATTTCAGGCAACGGAAGCTGGCAAAATAATTTTCATTCTCGCAACGTAACTACTGTTCTCATCGCTGTACCAAATATAGAACACAACTTATTCAAACGAAATTAACACTTTTTGATACGAATTTTACCTGACAAGGGAGATAATTTTAGGAAGTAACTTTCAATATATATTTTTTGTAGGACTAACGCTTTATCTTACACACATATACAATAAAGCTTTATTTATTGTGAAGTCTAAGAGAAACCTAATGATGATCTTATGAAGTTGAACATGTCTTACAGGAAAGAGTTGAGATGACATAACAATTAAGAACCCGATGTATATTGTATGATTTATATTACAGGGCCTCAGGTCTACGTTATTCTCAGCAAAGGTTGTATATATTATTTCAAAAACGAGTATAGCAAAACGGCACTTGGCAAGTTCTCTTTCTACGGATATAACAGGTAAGATTGATACTTGAATTAAAAAAAAATCTTCTCATGTTTCTAAAATTCACTTCATCCTTTTAATTCATGTCAACGGAGGAAAATGGTTTCATGTCAATTATTATTTTTTTTTCCAAACTTTTATTAACAAAAGACAATGACATATACAATACATACAAAACATGGACATACTTTACATATACAGTAACAATACAAAACAAATTTTAACATTGATATACCAATAATCTTGACATTAATACGATAACATATATATATATATAAATCACTACCTGGTTGAGAAAGTAAGGCTGTCACTATGCTGTGTAGGATGTAGTTTTGTCCCTTTAAATGTTCAGGGGAGACCATTTTGCTAGATATTTTTCAAATGAATTATTAATTTTTGAAATAAATTTTTCAGTTTCATTTTGTTGATAAATGAGAGTTTTACATTCTGTAAATGTTGGTTGAATTTCTTTGTATCGGCAGATATAAATGAAATATTTCATGGTTAGGATCAGATAATTTATAACTTTTGGGCCCTTTTCACAAATGAGAGTATGTCAAAAGCATCGAAAAAATCAATTTCAAAATTATCACTTACTGAATTTATCCATACCTTAAATTCATTCCAAATTCTTTTAATAATTACACAATTGAAAAACAAATGTATTTGTGTTTCAGTTTCATTTTTACAAAATGTACATTTATCATCACCAGTAATTTTGATTTTATATAAAAACTCCTTAGTAGTCAAAATTCTGTGTAGTAGTTTAAATTGAAAATTTTGCATTTTTGTTTCTATTGTACAGTATATTGGTAATGTATATATTTTACTCCAACCTATCTTAGTTTCTATGTTCACATTTAAATCTCTATTCCATTTGGCTTGTTTTCCTACAGGATCTATTTTATGTTTGTTCAGTAAGGATTTATATACAAATTTCAAGTCATTTTGAACCATTATTTTCTGAAAATCAGATAAATTTGCTTCATCATTAGGAGTAATTATATCTCTATTTTGTCGTAACTCATGTAATTTATTTTTGGAAATTTTACTTGTCAGAGCAAAGTATTTAATAAAGTTCATAGTTGGACATTTAACTTTAATATTTTCAAAATTTAGAAAATAAAATCTATTATCTAACAGGTCGTTAATCTTTTCAACCCCAGATTGTTGGAATGCTATAAATTGTTTGAAATCTTGAAATGGAACATAGTTTAATATATCTTCATGTAATAAGTCTATATGTTTATCTTGGGATTTTTTAAAATCTATCCATGCTAAAAGTGTATCTTTCCAAAAAGGATTTGATATTTTTTTTACTTATTTCGTTTAAAGTTACATTGTTAAAATTCCAAATTCTCTCGTTACCAAATTGATTAAGTAAGGTTTTAGTCAAAGTTTGCCATTGGCCATCACCTGTGTATAATCTTTTTAACCATTTTACCTTTAAGTATTTAATAAAGCTTTCTATATGTATCATTTCCAAGCCACCTTCATCATAATCAAGTATCAAAGTGTTTCTTTTAATCATATCAGGTTTGTACCCCCATATAAATTTATAAAAAACAGAATTAAATTCTTGAAGCCATTTTTTTCCAGGGTTTGGTAAAGAGTAAAATAAATGTGTTAATATGGGTAATGCAAGTGTTTTCACTACTGTGATTTTTCCAATAAGTGAAAGTTTACGTCTCGACCACATACCTAATAGTTTTTTAATGTTAGTTAGCTTATCCTTAAAATTGATTTCAATAATTTTAGACAATTCTAATGAAAAGTTTATTCCCAAAAGTTTAAATTTATCAGTTAACCATTGAAGGTTAAGCTCGGGGCATAAGATCATATCTGAATATTTATTCCTTCCAATCCACATTACCTTACATTTGTGTATATTAAGTCTAAGGCCAGACACCAAGGTGAAATATTGAAAAGTTTTAATTGTATTTGAAAGTGAGTTTTCAGAACCATCCAGAAACAGAAAAGCATCATCCGCATATTGCCCTAGTAAATATTCTTTGTCTTCTATTTTTATACCCTTGATTCCATTGTTTTTCTTAAGAGCTAAACCTAATATTTCAACTCCAATTATAAACAAGTATGGTGAAACATGGTCACCTTGACGACAACCCCTCTGTATATTAAAAAAATCTGGAAAATGCCCATTATTAATCATCCTACTTTTAGTATTATGATGAAATGTTTTGATCCATTGAATAAGAGACTCACCAAAATTAAAAGGCTGCAATGCTCTATATATAAATTTCCATTCAACTGAGTCAAATGCTTTCTCGAAATCTACCAATAATAATATACCAGACCTGTTATTTTCCTCTAAGTAATGCATCAAGTCAAAAACTAATCGCGTATTTTCCCCAATAAACCTTCCTTTCATAAAACCTTTTTGTGTATTGCTAATTATGTTTGGAAGCACCTGTTTTATTCTATTTGCAATTGAAGCAGAAGCAATTTTATAATCAATATTAAGCCATGTCAATTATTGTTATGTTACGAATTTATTTGCAATTTGAATAAAGTGACTGTATACAAAGCGACAAAATACTTATTGCATGTCTGTGTGACTTGTGTAAATGTCTACTGACCATAAATGACTCCATCACTTTTCTTAAGCGTCATGCGTTCGAAAGCTGTAGCCCCGAAGCTTGGACCATGGGCATTTCAGGTAGTTCATACTCACAAAGAATTTAAAACATACTACTTCGCTGCACCATCAGAGAGAGAAATGAAGGTTGGTTTGACATATTTCAATTTTTGTTCGTTGTTTTTGTTTCATTTCTTTTTTTTTTTTTTTTTTTGTTTTGTTAAATTATACAGACAAATTTTCAATACATGCATAATAACTTGTCATAGTGAACAGAGCTAGTGATCTTTCAATATAAATTTAGAATCAAGTACACGGACTCGATAGTAATGTTCAGGGCGTAAATCGTAAACCCAGGATACAGCATGATTTTAAGAGAACGCTTATTACATGGGTATATACTGTACCTTGCCACTATTTGAAATACGGCTTCAGCAACAGACTTATAAACAGTAGGATTATCCCTGTAATTCATGAATATCATAACAACCAAAAGCTTGACAACTAAGTGTGCCTTTTGTGCAGGATTACAAAAATCTGAATTATTTTGCTGGGGATTTGTGACGCCATTAACTTTCGAAATCAAACTAAATTCAGCGGCATTTTGGGGTCACGCTATTGTTGCTGAAATCATTTTCATGTCTTGTTTGGGTAACGGATGCCATTGACGTCATGAATTATGGTCACTTGTGCTAGATATGCAAACGAGAAATTTACGGACAGTACATCCTGGTTATACTCTCATTTTTATTGACCAATCAAATATCGTGTATGTATTACATCTGGAATAAATTAGAATGGACTATTTCCATTTTCATAGCTTTTTGAATTTTTTCCTTCTATCAGGAATGGATGAAACATGTTAAAGGAACCTTGGTGGACGCCAATGGCAAATCTGCAGAATATTATACTTATCGGTAAGTAAAAAGGGATATTGAATAATGTTTGCAATATATTCACTATTCCAAGCAAGTTTGGCATCCTAGAGCTTTATGGAGTGTACCGTTTAGCTGTTCGGGAGACATATATAATTTTTTTTTTTTTTTTTGGTCGTCCGGTTTCAATCGGTAGATGAACTTGTGAGGTAATTGCCAGTGAATGACTGTACAAATTGAAGTTTTGATATACCATTTATATCAATGAAGACGTCTCTAGCAAATGTTTAAGCGTCTGCTATATATAGTGAAGGATAAGGTGGTTATCGCTAATGATATTTAAAACTGAATTAAACAAAGATCAAATTTAAGTTTTTAATGTAAGCTATAACCCTTATTGAAATACTTTATTGCACTCCCTGCTTTAGTTAGTTTATAACTGATGAAGGATATCGTTATCCCATCGAAATTGTCAGATTGACTAGAGTACGTGCACATTTGCTTTCAAATACCATAAAGTTTTGTGCATAGCACCTGTAACGATGAAAACGACAGAAAGCGCGTGCGGTAGAAAGTTACGGCGAAAGAGAGAAAATTAGATTAGTGAGTGTCGTGTTTGATCACCGCTGTACATGTCTGTCAACTGCCAATAATATATTCAAATAATATAAGCAGAACATTACCGTTTGAATAAGGTATTTTCATTTTCCAATTTTAAAAAGGCACAAAGAAAAGTGAACATAAGTTTTTCTTTTCAATTTTCTTTTCACGAGATTATACGAGATTCGGTCGTTTTAGGGAAATCATGATTATGATGATCAAAATGGCGGTTGTAAAATAATATCGCTATACGCACCCGAATTGTGCGCTAAAATATCCGAAATATCGATATCAATTAGAGTAAAGTTGCTTTCAAATGTCATAAATGAAAGTGATTCATGTAAATAATATTTCGCATTGATGAGAACATTCGCACACGATCGGTAAGTATAACAGGTATGCTTGTCGTCCTACTTAAAAACGCAGTTGGATGCAAAATTATGACTGCATTAAAATCAGAAATATCCCTGGTTAGATGCAGTAGAGAAATGATAAATCAACGAAAATGGAATTAATACTCGTCGTGTTGTTAACAAACTTTACAAGTAGAAACGTATGACACTTGTTTTTATGCCTGGCGGTTCTGATGTTGTTAAACCTGTTCTCATTTGGGAACGTGATATTAACGGAGAACACGTACCGTTCAGGAACATCTTGTCTTATTATCTTTCTTCTTTTTTCCATGAGTCTTTGTGTACTTAGTTTCGTGTAATTTGAGCTTGGATTTAGAATCTTGTGGCGCTTTCTTCGTTGTTTTTGCATTAGGTATTAAATTTGAGATATTCTTTTAGAGTAAAAAAAAAAAAAAAAAAGCAAAAACATCTTTGCTTTATTGCTTGATCACTTGCTGCCTAGAAAATTTCCCTTTTCCTCCTGAACTTTTCCTTCCTTCCTTTCATGACGGGTCGCCTGCACTCGACTGCTTCCCTGTGACCTTTACAGCTTTTCTATCTTCTTACTTAAGTGGTACTACAAACATTAAATAATCAATCAAGAATGATACTGCCAATAGAATTACACTTGAGAGCATGACATTCCCAGTTACGCATACACATGATGGTGATGTTGATAGTATAAAGTACCATTCACCAAGCTGACAGTGATTGTTACTATTAACTGTATTAAGTGTATGTTTACACAAGAAACCGAGATTGACCTAGGTCTCGTGTTGCATGCATATTTGTGCAAATTGTTGAATGAAATTAAAGCTTACGTGAATAGCTCTTACTGACACATGTTAATCTGATAAAATTTTGTAATTTTTTGTTTGTTATTGCATTGCTTCAAAATGTAGAAACATATCCTTGATAAGGCAAACGTTGATACCCCTTAAATCTTGTCTATCATTATTTAAAGTCACTGATTCACTCATTGATAAAATGAAAACTTATGGCAAACTCATGTAAAAAACCAATACAAAAACAAAAAGCAAACAAAACACCAAACAAAAAAGGCCTATATATACAAACTTTCAAAAGATTTTATGTATTATGTAATTTGTAAAAAAAGTGTCTATTTTTATCACCGGAATGTGATATCACGTGTACATCTCGTTGATTGATTAACCAACGCAATAGTTATCTAATAGGAAATAAGTATTGTTTAACTTTAAAACACAATGTTCGATTAAGACGTTTTTGAAAAATGTTGAATGTAAAAATTTAATGATGAACAATAACGATTGGGTTTATTTTACAGACGAGCAGCCAAAGAAAGTAAAGATAAACTTCTTGATGATGAATCTACAACATACAATGAAATTGAAACCAACATATATGGGGACACGCCTTCATTTACTGTTGACAAGGACTACAAGAAAAAATATAGAATTAAAATGAACGATGAAGGTAATGCAAACTATTGTTTTATAGAGAAAAAAACGTCAAATGGTTTCTTGCATTTTTTCTAACTTCAGTATCAGGGTTTCTTATGGAATAAATTAGAAATTGGGAATTCCTACCACATCCTGGAGATGGTTATGATGACTTCTGAAAGATCACCCCCATGCAATATATTCTAGTATCTGCCCCTACTTTTGGCGGAAATCAACAGATTATTTTAATTAAGAAAAATAGTATTTAAGAAATTGACGCAATTGAGACATAGTTTTTCTTTCTCTTAACGTATCTCACCTTAAAAAGGCGTCTTCATTCTGGAAGTTGTTAGCTCATCAAGACATGTAAACATGTGTGTTTAATGATAAATGAATAAAAACATATCTGGAATATCTTGATATAAATTGATAATCAAAATAACAGTAGATATTTTGTGGCAAATAAAAGCTGTACACTTTTTGTGGAATTATGTTAATATCTATAGAAATGTTTATTACTTTATCGAAATATATTAACAGTCATTGTAATAACGGATATGCAGAAATTAAGAAAGGAAAAAACGATGTGAAATTCACATTGTCAGCTATGCCTGATTTCACTACAAATCTGCAGTGATTACATGCTGGAGTTGGTTTGGTCTTCAAAAAAGAGTTATAATACTACGGTTCCCGTTTTCTGTTATAAATATCGACAGCTGATTATAAATGCAATATGTACGATGCTTTTTAGGATTCCCAATTGCTTCGTTTTTTATTTGAGAACATGACATTACTTTTGGATCACTTTCATTTGCTTGGCGGTTGTTGTCGATCGAGGAGAAGACGCTCAAAATCGGAAAACTCATAAATCGAAATCTTCATCGCATGCATGGATTATATGTATCACATTCAAAATCTACCATGAGTTATGGTACCGTGATATTTAACGTGAAATAACTCAATTGTGCCTTTTATTAATGAAAGAAATCAGATAGAAGCTCATTTTAATTCACACGAAGAATATTGGTACGGTTCAGAATATACACATGTATTTACCATTGTTTTAGCTAGTGCATCTCCCGATTCAGGTTTTGACTTTATTTTTCGATTGTTCTCATGCGATTCTGAGGCTTCAAACTTTAGGCCCTTAGCATCACTGACTAGTCCTAGAAGCAGCTGTATGATTCCCCTAAATTCAACATTTGACTCTACTCTAACTGTAAATTTGTGTATGTTTCACTCAACGTTTCTTCTTCGGATCCAGTAGGTGGCTGTGTAACATAAACAAAGCAGCAATCGTACAACCAACGAATGAAATAGGATATTGAAGCTTTCAATAAAAACTGATATCTTTTAATTTCCTAAGCATCTGACGAAGAAGATGAGGAACAACCTAGTCGTCCCCCCGATCTACCGCCACCACGAAATGACCGACCACCCCAGCCACTGCCAGACCAATCTCCGACCACTGTCTCTAGGTCGGCAATAGGGTCACAGCTCCCAAACATACCAGGGTCTTCTACCAACACATCCACCAGGGGTCCTCTTCCTGCGACACCCGAAGGCCCACCGACAATTCCTCCACGAAAGGACAACAATGAAACAAGAGGTTGTCATACTGATGAATATAACATCTCAATTATCAAGCAATATTTGCCTTCAAAAATATAGAATTACCACTTTTGGGTTACTAATTCTTTAATTTTTGTTGAGGACAATGGTATGTTAATATTGAACAGATATCTATGTTGCTAAAGGCATGCTTTCTTATTATTGATGAATTTTGGATTTCTGTTGTTTGTTAGATGTGGTACGGCAACGACAACGACTTCACCAACAACGATAATACAAAGGCAAAACAATCGTATTTCAAATAAACATATTACCTGTGCAGTGTTTTTTTTCAAGAATATTGCATCAAAGTGATCAAACCTTTTAGATGATTCGACGTGTTTGCGAGGAGAGTTGCGGAATGTACTAATATAGGTGTCAAATATTGAGTAGTTTTGAAAACACAAATAAAACATATCGCTGTCCGTATTCCGAAATTACCGACAGAAAAATGAAACAACGATGTCCCTTTTATTACAGGTGCCAAAGCCAAAAACAGAGGCTCAAAGGAAAGTAAAGATACACATACACAAAATAGTCGGGTAAGTAACTTTTACCTTTAGGAGATTCATGCAGATACAATATATCATTTTGTAGAATTCCAAATATTTGATAAAACAGTAATATTTCCGATTGTTACCGCTGACTTCTTTTTTTCAGAATGGACATGAGCATGGCGTGTATGAAAAGTAAGTATTTTCTTATAAATACGACGTGAATGTAATTATGTTGAAGTGTCCGGTATTTAATACTGATAAAAGTTGTAGTTATCAGAAAAAAAAAAGTTTTTAAAAAATGGAATTCATAAGTTACATAATCTAAAATGAGTTCCCTCTGCCTCTTTTTTTTTTGTCTGTAGAGCTAAAGAAGTGGAGCCAGACCCAGAACCGGAACAAGCCCAAGAAGTAAGACTATTTATTTATTTTTCCTTTCAGATTTTGTTTTACAATTTAAAGCGTCTGTATAGTATTTTGTAATGCGTATTTAAGAAACCTTTGACATTATTTTGAACTCTCTCAGTTGCAGTCAAAGATTTTTTTCTTTGCGACATGTGAATAACGATCCTACTTATGAAAACTATATTGATAATACAGGCAACAGAATATTCACAAAATTATAGATTGATAAAGTATGTTATTTGATTACAGGATGAAGGTTCATATTGGGATGATATTCACTACACTGACTCAAACTGGGAGAAAGCTAGCGAGTAAGTACTGACTTAACTTATTAATCTTGCTTTGAAAATTCGGTGATGTGCCTCTTTCTTAGCATATAGGGCGACGAAAGTTTCTCTTGCAGCTGCCAGAACAATGCCAACCAACATACAGTTTGATATGCTTAAATGTTGAAATATATAGTTAGAAAAAGGGAATGCTTACTTTGATATAACTAAATGTCTCGGCTCCATTTTGTCTTTCCATCTTTCTGAAAAAGAACTTGATGAAGCAAAAATGTAAGATTGCAACCCCTGTACATGTTCCATGCTCACTACCACAACATTGAGTTATGGTTACATGTCTTTAATCGTTCAAAACAGTGAGATGTTGATAAAATGATGAATTTGCTGAAACAAATGACTAGACTGTTGGATGCATCCTCTATACATGTGACTTGCCCGAGAATAACATTGACAAAAATGGTGAAAATGGTTTTTCTATAAGAAAAAACTCTCACATGATTCTTAGATAAAGTATCTAATTGTGTTAGACAGACAGGACATTTTAACAAAATATCAACTGATCAGAAGTGCACTTTTTTCATCGAACGTAAAACATAATTTAGACAAATTTTTGTCTTAAAGTGTTAATTAGTACTAATTGATTTTCATTTTAGCATCAATGCTTTATTTTAGCCCTTTTCGGGTGTCTCTTATTTTATTTCCTAGCCGTCAATCAAGAAGTTAAACCCAAAATGACATTTATTGTTCATCTCATGTCAAATCGGACCATATCAAGCCAAATTCTATTAGGCTGACGGTTGTTAGTCAGAAAGATCTTATCAAGTCGTTTGAATACTGGTCAGCTGATCAAGGAATCACCGTAAATTTTAGATGTGTAAGCAAAAGGCACACAGATGAATATCACCTTCTAATACGAGTTTGATGACAAAGTGTATACTTAAAATGAATAAATGAGAATCTGAATGATTTTCGAAATCTTATTAATGCTATTTGTTAAATCTCAAATTCACCAGTTTTGACTGTCATTTGAATTTCTTCTGAATTTGTATCGATTTTCAGTATTTTACTAAATTGTTTATCTGAAAGATTATTAAATCGTTTGATAAATCTTATTTTTACAGAATAATTAAAAACCTTGAAACAGATGGTACATTCCTCGTCCGTGATGGCACAAAAGGCAAGGTAAGTGCGCGCAGACTACATGGTATGTAATTATTTTGACGGTTAAATTTTATGTTAGGTAATTAACTATTACCACAAAATTGGAGAAGTGACATGATTAATTCCTTGCTCTTTATTTATATGTTGACTGATAGCACAACCGGTTTCTCGATATAGACACTATTAAAATATTTCTGATATTTCAGTCTGATAAATTTTACATATAACAGGTTTATTCACTATCGAAAGTGAGATATGCAAAAATGCTGTAGTATAAAAAGTAATTTTAACAAATAATGATTATAACGAATATGTGCCTCGTTTTCATTGCTATAGGTTTTACTTGTCTACGCCGATAAAGGACTTAAGAAATACCAAATTCAACAGGACGTAAGTATTTGGTTTTTTATCGTACATTATTGCTGGCCGCGACAGCTTCGTTGGTAGAGTGTTGGTCCATGCTGTCTCGGGTAAAAACCCAAGAGGTGTGGTTGGACGCTCCCTAATTTGGCGGCTTGTACTACTCTGCCGTTGTAGTTGTGTTCTTAGGCAGTGCATTTTACTCTATTGCTATTGATGGTGAGAGAGTAGCTTCCCATATGGTTTTTACCGGGTAACCACCGACTAACTCAATAGATAACACACCATAAAACAAACAGCTGTTCATGTGCCTATACAAAATAGCAAATAACTGAAATATCGATCATGCTAGAAACAAAGTATATCTGTTTAAATAAATTTTGTTGGAATCAGATACAAATAACTAGACCAACGAATGGTCCGTTTTATATCTTTTGAATTGATAAATTATATTTTCGTAAGAAAAATCGAAAGTCACTTCCTCTGTACCCCTTCAAATGAATTTTGAACATTATATAAATCTGTTTTCTGTACACTGAACATTTTGCTCACATGACGATGGAATAATAATGTAGAGAACATTAAAAATACAATCGGATCGTGTTCTCGCTTTTGATGCCGTACAGGATTGAATGTATTATTTCTTATTTCGATTCAACGTTCTGAGAATAACTGATAATACTAGGATATGGTTCTCGCGCTCTAATATTTTTGTTAAAAAATGTTTGTAAAAGAATAATATCTATCGTCCTGAGAAGCCTCAGCCCTATCTCCCATATGCCGCATTGATTTCTTCGCAATGAATTATCCGCATTTTTTTCTTTATTTTAGAAAAATGATCATAAATTTTTCCTGAAAAAAGATGGCCCTCATGCTGATACGTTAGAGGAACTAATGTACGAATACCACATGATAAAAATACCAAACTGTGAGATAAAACTTATTCAACCTTATCTACATCATCCTTCGTACAAGAACCTCAAGTGAACGAAATCAAGAACTGCTGCCGTACGCTGGCACGGATTCAACCAAAGTGCCAAGTGTGTTCATTGCGTATGACACAACAGCCTCCCGTGATATTAATGTTGAATGGAGGACTTGCACATCCTCTTTTGCATTAATGTTCAGTCAAGGACCTGACAGTTGCAGGGGAAAGATCTTGAAAAATATCATTTGCATTGATGTTGTCTATATTTTTGTTACAAAAAAAGTTCATCAAATTACATAATAAACATATTCAAATTTTAACATGCCATAATTACTACACAGCTAGCTAGTAGGAATTGAAATGTCCTTCTCCAATATAAAATATAACCATTTCTTATAAATAAAGTCAAAAATGAGACTTAATAAATTCCTTCTTAGGTGAGAAAGTTGAATTCAGTCTTATGTTAAGAATCTGTTGGCATGTCGGTATTTTTGTATTTATTTTTGTTTTTGTTTTTTGTTTTTTTTCTTTTTCTTTTTTTCTTTAATGTCTTCATATTTTAGAATATTTTCTACGAATAACCTAATGTTTCAGCACAAATGTTTAAAATAATTTATGTTTAAGTAATGTATAAGTAGTGAATTGGGATAGTTTTCTCAGTCATGTGATGTAATACGCCTTCTAAGTATCTCAAGTAACACCGAGAAAATAACAATATGGCAACATAATCATAATCCAAACTCAAATTCAAAATCAATACTAGGGCAAAATACGAATGAACGAATATTTAAACGGCAACTCCTGAAAAAGTACAAAGAGTAAAACCATGTGTTCCGGAAGTGTAGGCGTCTTCTGCTTTATCGAAGACACTAGCCGTGTAAACCTTGGTCAATCCAGGTAAATTATGTAACATTCTAAAATGGGAACAAGGTAAACAACAACGTAACAAACAGGCAAACTAGCGAGTATCAAATGACAAGCTTCATGTTACATAAAGAAATAGGGTATTTATGAGGTCACATCTTTTGAACCAGTGTTACGAGTTTGTCCGTCAGGTGACGACTTCTTGCACGCAAAGCAAAGCATGATAATAGGGTAGCAGTACACAGTTTCTCGGTGTGGCCATGGGTGATTTTTTTGCTCATTAGATTACCCCATTATAAAGGTTTTAATTAAAAATGAAAAAAAAATCCTTGCTAAAATTGGTCCTGTCATGTTAAAGTGGACAAGGTGGGGTTTCATTTTTTTCAGGATAATATTTTAGCTTTGTGTTGGAGATTACTATTTGGGCAGTCTCGAATCTGTGTCTACGTACCAAAAACTAGCTTTACAGGAAGTGAAATTTTCATAGTGTTCACATGTGGTCATGTTATGAAGAATTTCCGAGTTGGAATTTGCTGAAATGTAAGTACTTTGTTACCATGACAGTGTTGTTGATTGTAAGATAGGTGTTTAGAATTAAATTTCTCCTAGAAAGTTGTAGTGTTGGGTTGGAATTAGCAGTATTTTTGCATTTTTAGCATTTTTTCAGTAGGTAACCATGACAATCAAATGTCAGAAATCAGAGGAAATTTTTTTACACAAATTTCATCTCTCAGCTGTTAATGTAATTGTTATATAGTTTATAAATATATATACATATAATGATGTATTTTCCATAACCAATCTGCTATACCTGTATATCTCAAACATGACAAATAATTTCAGGAAAAATGCAAATTAACTGTTTACTGCTACCTAGGAACAGGCAATTGATTATCGAATCAACTTTGACATGTAAATACCATAGGTTGAAGATGCAGGAGTATTTCTATCTAGAAATAGAAAATTCACATCACCGTTAATCATACCGCTTGGTCGAAAGATTTTGTTGTAGAAAAGATCTTTATCTTTAAAGAGGAATCAGTTTTCTACCGTCCAGCCATTCTGTGTATTTTTATATCAATTGGAAAACAATCACTTTGAGGCACTCTAAGGAAATTCTATCAAATTAAAGGAAGAATCCAAGTTGTAGAAAGGTCCAGTCATGGACGGTGTAATGTTATTACAATCACCCTATCTTTGGTTGATATGCATATTTAAACAACAATTTACCACACATAGTTACGTCAAACATTTTCTTTAAAGTTGCACTAGCATAATTTTGTACACGCAAAGTTGTTCATTATGTACATAAGTCTGGCATTTTGTGTTAATTTGTCGAAGCATATTCCACGCATTTGTTACGAATCGATAGCAATTCATTTGGGAAAGCATAACAGTGATGTGTTAACATGCATTACTGATATCTCCTTTCGGAAAAAAGCCTCTTAAACGAAATTGTGCTGATCATGAATATCGTTGTAAATTTGTAATAGGAAAGCATAAGCTAAAGCAAATCGTAGAAGTAGAATTTGGAGCAATCACGTGATATTTTTGTCAAATCCATACAATACTATCACAAATAGTATATCAAGCGTTAACAGAACCTTTTGATTATGTCACATCCGGTTTTAGACCACCACGAGAATAATCCGTCTTTTCTTCATACTTCTATAATTTTCTTGTCGCTTTTTTGTATCGGCCGCAGTCAACCTTTGTATTGGCCAATGTCATATATCACTCTCGTATTTTCTACTAGACATTACTCATAAACATATATCTTAATGTTTAACGTTGAAGACATTTTACTATAATGTCAACACAAGCTTATATGTTGACTTATCTACGAGATTCTTCACCATTTGCGGAAAAAGATAAAATGAAGCGTGATCGCAGTGAGCATTTGATGATTAAATCTTCCATCATGACTTACTGTTCAACAGTTTTACCGAAGAGAGTTTAAATTAGTGTTTCTAGTTGTATTGAATAGTATATACTATAACTCCTGGTTATAGACTTCAAAATATGTTGAAAAATTCCTTTTAAAATGAAGTTTGCTATATTAAGTATAAATGTCCTTTAACCATTGCTTTCATATCATATTAAACTAGCATTATCTGTAGACGTTAATGAACTACTTTTTACGCCAAGACAGCTGGTGTTAAACAGGAAGTCGTCCAGTAGCCATATTTGTCCTGTAGCTAAAGAAATCAAGTATCTAACTTTTAACTCAGGAATAATCTTTATGTAAAAAATGAATATATGTCACCATAAGAAATACTCCTGTGATTTGGATGAAAGTTTGTTGACAGATATAGAAATGTCGTACTTTTTAGAGACCCCGGTGTCCAATTTCTGTTTAATATTATACCATAACGCTTTAACGATATAACAGTATTAAAATCAGTACAATCCTATATTACTGTGAAAGCATATATTTCCGTGGTGGTTTTATTTTCGTCGAATTGATAGGTACTCTTAATCCATTCAATCCATCAACTAATAAGTGTCTAAAAGCTGTTTACTTGATTACTTATTCTGTGTATTCGTAAATACTTTTCATACACGTAATCAAGTGCACGCGAAAATTTAGCCCCCACGAAAATAAAGAATTTCATAGTAGGCATGATTAGATGCTTTTGCAAACATCTTGACGATGAGTACAATAGTTGTCGAGATTAAAAGTAATGTAATTACTAGCTTCCCTATTATTTTTACACCTGGGCTCATGTAGATATATATACACAAATTAGATCTCATTCACTATTCATACAGTTATTGAATCAATATAGAAAACAAAATATTCATGATCAATTTTGTTATTGCAGTGAGTTTTTTCATATTCATGGGAATTCAATTTTATGAATGAAATTACCATTTAGTTTTTTGTTGGTTTTTTTGCGAAATTTATGAAACAATTGGATAATGGTTTTCTATATAAAATCAGCTCATTTTTTTCTTTTTTTTTTTCTCTCGATTTGTTTTTTCCACTAAACCATCGGAAACAATATTTGCGAGAAGTATGTATTTTCGTTGGACTAGAATTTCATGGTTTTTACAAAATTGTGCTTTTTCTTTGGAATTTAATTTTGTGAATATATACTTTTACTAAAATCAATGTCAGTTTCTATCATTTCAAATTTCAAATTCGTGGACTAACAATACTCATGAAATCCAATATTACCAAAAAAACTGGCCTATTTTTAACAGTTGTTGATTTATGAACATAAGAAATCAACGAAGATTCATACCGAGTACATTTTGGTTGTAACCTGATATGTTTATTACGAGGCGTTGTTAAATATTTGGAAAGGTTCCTGATTACTGCATTGAATGGCCAACATGAAATTTAATTTCTATGACGTTTTGTATATTGTGATATTGATTAATGTTTATCTTGCATAATATATTACAAGTGATGCTTTGTGATGCTATGTCAAATACATTTGTTTATAGGAAACTTGGTCTGTTAAATGTGATGTTTAAATAAACCCAACACGTATTACCTTTTGCATTTGTATTTTTTTTCTTTTTTGTGCAATCATATTCCAGATCACCAATTCCAACTATCTCTGCCATTTGGCCAATTATGGAATCATTATCAATTTTGACATCAAGTGCTGAACAAATATGATCTTAGATGGTTACTGTGACGTCACAGTCTTAGTCGACTCGACTTAACACGTAGAAATCTGTGGGGAAAATCAAGAACAAATCGGTCGCGAATGTCTGTTTATTACATATGCACACACTTATAAATAACACATAAGAAAATATACTTGAGGCTGTGTCAATACTAGGAACTACAATATGTAGTATTCTAATATGTCGATAGTTCGTCATATACATTTCAATACGACTTTATGATATTAACACACATGGCCATCTCCGGAATGCATAAAAATCATATTAGGAAAGCAGACCGAGGATGTACTTTTACCCATTATTACATCATATGTAGCTTTAAAGAAACAGTGATGCAGGAAATAGGAGTTTCAAAAGAAAGACAGTTTGAGGCCTTTTGGCTCCTTGTCAACAAAAAGTTCTCTGTTTTTGGCGACTTGCAGACTTATAGATATATTACTGAGTCAAGATCAAGCACACAATGGGAAAGTTATTTAAAAATTCAAACTATGATTGCTTCTACCAAATTTCCTTCAAGATCTCACATACAATTGGTCTGAAATCCCAAGTTTTCAACATGTAAAACGACATGGTTTCAAGATTTGTGCTTGATTAAGCAGCATGACAAATAGCATAAGCACTTAAAGATATTTCTCCCAGGCTGCAGACGGGAATCTTTCTGTACTTGTACCAATCATCCATTCTATGACTGGCCTGTTCGTAAATTGTACTTTCAGATGATGGACCTGATTAAAAACTACGCCCTGAAATTGTATTCCTTAAGCAACATTAGAAAAAAGTATGCATATTGTAACAAATAAGTTTGCCCAAAAAGATCGCAGAACAAAACTTTAACTCCAAAAATATTTTGATTATAGTTCAAACATCCACTTGCTCTAATAAGTCATCTGTATTCAAGCCACATTAAATTCTCTGTTCCAAAGTCGCCTACTTTGAATACATATCGACAGGCTTGTTCTATTTTGCTCTGGGAACATATTTTATAGGATGCAATGGACCGTCAACAAAGCTGCAAGGTTGCTGTAAATATTTCTTCTACTGATCTGAATTGCCATACGCAAAAATGAAATATGATTTTGTCCTGCTATCTCATACGAATGGTAATAGCAAATGTCCTTTGTGACTAACTACAAGCTTGCTACAAGAAAATATTGAAATAACTCGAAAACAGAAAACCTGCAGAGAAGAAGTGATATTTTCTCTGGCTTCCGCACAGGAATACATACATCGATCAATGAGACATTTTTAATCGTGTATATCATGCATGACGAATGTTCTGGATTTAAATTTATTTGTGAAATGAACTTCCAGGTTAAAAATAAGAAGATTCTATCATATCCGTAAGCCTGAAATAGCTACGTTAAGAGGCAAGATTGTTGAACAAAATAGGAAAAAGACGTCCTACTTACTAGACAGCTGCTCAGTGATTCCTCTAGGATTCACATATGTATTTCTAATTATCACTCCATTCGTTTGCTAGTTAGTAAAATCCTAAACCATTTCATATCAGCGTTAATCCAATGACTTAACCTTTTTTATCACCGAACAGTGCCTTGTGCGATATGAAGTCTACCTGTTGATTCCATTGGAGAACCTTAGTGCAAATCTTTGTTTCGTTCTAGTGTCTTTAAATTTAAACTGTATTTTCGGATCGTTTCAAATCATTGTTACTTCCCACTTTAAGCAATTTTACATGGACATTGTATTCATTTATTTAGTTATTTATCTATTCATTTATTGACATCTGAAATAAACAGATATTTTTGTTTCGCATAAAATGCCGCTTGTCCCGTCACGTGTAAAGAATTTGACCATATTATGTACATGTGAATAAATCATATTGCATTTTCCAATACCACGTGATACAAAGCTTCTGACCAATCAAAGACATGCATTTGTTGTACATTGATTTATTTCATAAATAAGACATACATATGGAACATAGTTTATATGATTATATCAAAAGTGTAATCAATTTACTCTATATAGGTCCTACATTAAGGACTGCACACACATCGTTTAATGGGTACATACATTGACTATCGTAATACGTCACTGTGTAATGGATGTATACACTAAATATCGTAAGATATATAAATTACACTAAAGTATAGACACAAACTGATGTAAACCTTACATCTACTTGTGCTATAACGATTTTTTCTGTATCATATGGAAGAACTTTAGGACCATTCAGAGAAAACATTATTTCGATTTTTCATGAAATTCGAGTTAGTGAGTCGAAATTTCAAATTATTAATTCAAAATTTCGATCTATTATCTCGAATATTTGAGTAATTGATATGAAAAAAAAAGTTTTTTTCTGCATAGCCCCTTATGCTCTTACGTAGTAACATTAACCTGCATACTGTATATCTACATACTACATAGAAAGGGCTATATGAAACTTACCAAATGTTGACTGCAAAATCAGCATTAATGGGTCTTGGGTAATTTTGGAGTTAGTAAAATAAGTCAAGTCTGTTCAAACAAATAATTGTTATTTCCACTGACTAAATAATAGGTTGAATAATGTAATGATATATCAAGTCATTCATTGTATAATGAATGCATTTTTATCGAATACTACTCTAGTCGACATCATTGTATGATGTAATGTATGTATATTGGTACAATTCATAGCAGGTATAATTATTATTGGAAAATTCAAATCTGAAACGTCCGGATCAACAACATCACTGTATATGATGCATTGTGTTAATTCATTTATATATTGAACATTGTCGAACGAAGACATTTTTTTCGTGTCCTATCCGATCCTCGAAGTCATTTTCTACGGCATCAAATCGGCTTATATAGATATATCTTCATTTGAACAAATTAACAAAGAAAGAAGATTTTGTTTAATGTACTTGACAAAGACCTGCTTGTTGATTTGTTTTCAATATTTAATCCCGACAGTGGACCTTTTTTCATACACATATCCCACTTCTTTCAAAAGACAGACATATTTTTATTTTCATTTTTTCCAAAATATGTCATCATGTTTCAGTAGAAAATATATCTATGAAAAGTCAATAGTTAAAAAAGTCAAAAATGAATTTATTTAAATCTACTTTTACTTTACTTCAGTGTAAAAATGATTTTACTGAGTTTTCATGATTTCAATTAACATTAAATTATAGTTCCTAATACCAATCTACCCTATTGCGATGCTGCTAACATACTCTTTAGTGATATCATCATTTTAGTGTCATTTTAAAATCACATATTTGATAAACGAAACATTTTTGTGATACATTTGATCCTGCGAAGAATCGTTGCGCTAATTTATCTACAGCATCGGGTAATGAACGTTTACATGTTTATTGATTAATATATGTTAAATGTATTGGATTTAATGATTGTGTAAAACAGGTACAAAGGAAGTAATTTACTGTTGTTAAAGCGCGTTTACAGCAAAATCCCAAAGTAGTGAAAGCAGTTCTCTTTCTTACACAATCCGAATTTTCATTGAACATACGATAATTTATAACCTAGACCTATACATACACGAAAATATTGGTGAAAAGAGTTTACCTCCTTTCGTTATACTCTCTTGAAAATACACTGGTTATATTTACGCATGTTTTAAAGATACATCACCATTTTACATAAATAGATTTGAATTCGTTGCAAGGATGTCTACACGAGTAATTCGCTCGTTTGAGATATGGAAGGTTATAATTGAATGTGTTTTATGTTATAGTATAAAAACGTTATTTAGAGTTTTAGAATGAAGTCTTCTGTGTCGTTGTCGTGTTATAGTTTGTGGTAATAGACACACTTGGCAATAAGTTAGGGACCATCAGTTTCAGTATGAATTCAAAATGATTTTCCCTTTTGTAAAAATAAACCTTGTCGTACTCTTTGCAGTGTCTCTTTTTGTGTTGCTGTTATCTGCAACCAGACGATACACCCAAGTAACCGATTACCCGGATTAAACTGGGTTATTCCGTATTTTTACAAACAGACTGAATTATAGCTCCTCGATATATGCAATTAAATAAACTGGTGTCATTTGTGAATAAACCAGTAAGTCATTTACTGGTTTCATTGCAAACTTTCTTGTCACACACTTTAACTCTATTTCAGGGTAGGACCTTCCATACAAAAGTATAACGTTATATTTCCAACAATACAAAAAAGAATGTTCATTTAAAACACAAAATATCTCACTCTGTTAAACAAATATGATTGATTTTCTAACATACTACTGATTTCCAGGTCTTATTTTTACAAAATGTATGAAAACATTCCCAATGTACAAGCAGATGGTTGTTCGTTAGACGTTGGACATGCGTATTGTAAACTCAGAATACGAAATTACGCATAAAGGAAATCTATGGCAACTTTTACGTGTCGACCATTTGAGGTATCTAACGCACTAACTTTAATTTCAGTGTCTCCAAAGTGCATTCGAACTTGAATTTCTCGTGTTTTTGGAATGATATCAGACGCTGTTTCAGAAATGTCTAGCGTAAGAGAGCCGCAGTTTCGTACCCCTTCATCAGTGACGTAATTCGGATGGACAACGTCACTAGCATAAATGTTGATTTTGATGACCTTCTGGTCAGTTTGTGCGGGAGTATAACTCCGCAGAACGACGTCACCGACGGCGACTGGCTGATCAATGGATATAAAGGCATCAAAAATATCAGTGCACCAATCCTGTCCTTCCCGAATGACTTTCTTATCATCGATGTGTTTACTATCGTCAAACTTATTAAGAATGCCTATGCCATATGTTTGCGTGGACCGCCTCACTGCAACAATCTCCGGATGGAGGCCGAATTGGACTGCGCCTAAAGAGATGTAGTGAACATGTTAAATTTGTATGCTGAGTATAAATGACTTTTGAGCCGCTGTCAAAATTAGTTCACGTAGAGTATAAACTAGAGGTTCCTCTGAGGGGAACACGATTTTGTTTCCGTAAGATATTACAAGTATTTAAAGGACTTGATTTTGTTATCAAATTTTTGGTCTGATGGATATTTCATAAATCTTATCTTTCTCGACATATTAAGACATATGGAAGTAAAACTACTATTATTGTTGATATCGTCCTATCTATTAAAATATTTCAGATCAATTAAAATTAATACATTAATTCTCTAAATAAACCGAATAAAATAGATATTTTAACCTTTCAGGATGACAGTCGATGACCCGGAAGGTACCACCACGTTCACGAGCTCACCAAACTCCTTCCGGATCTCGTGCTGCAAGATGGCAGACTCTGCAAACCCTCCAACCAGGAACAAGTATCTCAGATCTGAAACCATGGTAAATGTTGTAATCTTGCTAGATATTGACAGAGCTTCTAAAACTGAAGATTTTCCTCGTTTTCTTTCAAGTAACATGTAATAAATTAGATTGTTTGTTAAATCGTCGAGAAAAAAGTTTTGCGTCAATACAATAACAATAGGCTTTGTCGTTTTTAAAATATCGGTTAAATGCCCTTATTTTAACGTTTCCCTTAAATCTGGGGAGGGGGATGCACGGTGGACCCTTCTAGCTGCCGGCCTATAGTACATCAGGCAAAATACCTTGTTTGATTGTAAACATTATTCAAGAAATATTGAATTTGAATCCTTCATAAACAGGTATACTAATAGGCTAAAATTTTTCCGTGCACAAGAAGAATAAATTTGATTTACTCTAGTGTGTGATAAAAGCGCTGATGTAAGAGGTGGATCCATTGATGAGGTGATTGGGACAGAACCAATGCCATCCACCCCTCTTTAACCCCTCCCCTCTATTTTTTCTGGAATGGTTCTTTATCGTTAAAGACATATTTACTTGGGGTTTCCGTTCCCTTTTCCTAAATGCTAGACCGGTTTTATTTTATCGGGCTATCAACAAGACTGTTACCTCTGACATCTGGATTATTGAGTACGTCACCGATGGCCGACCTAATCTTGTCCAGGACAGGGACGAACAGACGGAACATGGCGTATGGGGCTAGTCTGAGCATGCCTTGCGGGGACCACTGTACGTCTTTGTCATGGAACTTCCGGATAACGTGCTCAATACTTCCTTGCTGTTACGTTATAAAATTGAATGAAAAAAACTATGACTTGTGATATAATTTTAATGTATGTTAAATTGTTAATCGGATTAAAAATGAAAAAATAACAAAAAAAAAAAATAAGCTTATGAACTCGGGGTCATGAGAACTTAAACAATCGATTTTGCTTTCCAGAATTTCATTGAACAAAATATCATAGTTTTTTTGTAATTAAGCACAACTTTATGTTTCTTAGCATTTCAATAGTGTCTCTCTCAATGGCTTAAAACTGGTTTTCATTACTCTCCGAATGATCTTTTTTCTTCTTTTTTTTTTTATAAAGATCTATGGGTATAACATTTTTACTGATGTATCGATTTTGAATGATAAATCCACGTGTTTACGTATTATTACGAATTATTACCATGGTCACATTCTCTCATATTTTTTTACCTTTTGATTATCTTTTGTCCTAGTTTCATCATTTCAGAGACATGCCTTTACTTAAAATTATTTCACTACTCACCAAAGGCTTGTGGAATTTTTTGTAGAAGTTGATAAATGAAAACGGTAAAGAGATGTTAAGAGACGAGGACTTGTAGGGAAACATGGATCGCTTTTTAGCTTCGAAGTTCATCATGAGATCAATCCATCCTGCTGGACATTTGGTCTTGTATTGGTCAATGAATGCATGTCCGAATATACTGACCAGTAAGGCCACAAATGCTCGGTCCACGCCTGAGAAAGGAACAGGATAAAATACAACATCAACAAAATATCGAGGATTCCACGTGTTGAAATCAGGTTTTGAATGTTCTTTTAAATTATATTTATACTTTTAAAAAGTCTTCTAAGTTAAGCAGATGAAACATATTTGGCCCATTTGATTTTTTTATTTTGAAGGTTTTTTTTTTAGTATTTTTTTTTATTTCTTGGTTAATTTTGAGGCAGGGTCTTCGATTCTTATAGTAGCTACCTAACAGAACAACATACCGGAGGTCCGTCACAAAGGAACAATTTGAGTAAATTTTTTTGCCAAGGATTCATTTTCTCAGAATCGTACCACACACCACGGATATTTGCCTGTGGTTGTGTAGGATATCGAACCGACTGAAATTACTTTCATTATTCACAATTTTTACTATGCTGTAACAACGTTATAAATACATTCTACTTACCAACAGCTCCATAAGCTCCACCACTGGCCTTGTAGATCTCTCCCAGATGTCCGAAATTGTCCAGTTCATGTACCGTGATGTCTACTGTCCCTCCACCACAGTCTACTACCATGTACCGTACGCCTAAACATACAACTGGACAGTTAGAGGCGTAGCAATAATGTATGCTTGTATGCTTAAACATACACTCGAATTCCATAGAGATATATTTGCCCTACTTTTTTAACTTTACTGCGTCCCTAGACCCCCTTAACCGGGACTTCGCCCTTGGATCCTCTCTTGAAAGCATACACTCTTAAAAATGTTTTGCTACGCCACTGACCGCACCACACATGCGTCAAATGGTCAGTTGGATATAGAGATTAAAAGGTATTGTATCAGAAATGAAAAGAAATATTTGATTGTAAATATGAAACGATGTGATTAGATCTGAAATACAAATACATTACATGCAAGTCCAATAAAGCCCTCGTCATCTTTATCCCTTTACTAAAATCACATATTCATATCAACTATGAATGTCATGAATTGCAGTTGATGTCATCCTTAAGATGTTTTAAAGTTTATTTTTTACCACGACCCCCAGCTCTATCTCGCCACGTAAACAGTTTCAACAAATATCACATTATAAGAAAGTTCGTGCAGAATTCGTTGGACATTCGACATTACAAGCCACGTATATGTTCATGCATTAAAGACACCCTTTCTAAGATATTGTGACGTCATTACATTGTATCGTGCAGAAATTACAAATCTATACATGGGGGAGGGATGAGAGGGGTCGTATTCGAATCCGACATTGAAACTTTTTAAATAGATATATTTTTTTTAAATGGAAGTCTCCAGTCCTCTACACGATATGGTTCCTACCAGTGTAACCGAACCAATATCTCCACAGTGTGGTGTGGTTGCATGCATTTTAACAAGAGATGTCGCCATGCATTCATACACATGCTCGTGTGTTTGTGCTGCATGCTTGTGTGCTACCTCTCATGACTGTATCCAAACTCTCGTGAGATTTCCACTGCGCCCGAGACACAAATTTTAAATCTGCAAATCAATTCATCGTTACATGAAGTTCAATATGGTTTTCTAGAAACTCTAGAGATTTAAACAGCAATAACAATTTTTTTCCTTGATGAAATACTGTATACTTCCTGCCGACTCGGTTTTGCAGAATTTCTTCAGCTCCTTTCGGTACATACGGTTCGTCGACAAAGTCAGAGGTCATAGGTTCGATTCCTTACGGAGGTATTAGAAATAAAACTACATCTGGCCTCACTTGTATAAAACATCTCAACTTGAGATTTCCTCAAGTCGAGATTTTCCTCAGCTGATATTTCCTCAAAAACGGCTTGTATAGAATTTTCTCAAGGAACAGGAGGAAGTCATCGGCTAGGATGTCCTGAAATTCCTTGAGGAATTTGCATACAAGATATTTTCAAGGAGATATTAGCTGAGGAAAATCTCGACTTGAGGAAATCTCAAGTTGAGATGTTTTATACAAGTGGGGCTTGATGCACAATTTTCATTTTAATTTTCTTTTAGCTACCATATGTCGACAAACAAATGATAACGTGGGCGCAGAATACCCAGTGGACAAAACAAGGACATTTAAACTAGACAAATCTTTATCTTATTCGCTTTTACATTTTTTAGCCTTTAAAAAATTCTTACCGGTCACGTGATCATCAACAGCGGAATCCTTATCTAAACATTTAAATGGCTGTCCCATCCAGGGGGCATGACGTGGGATATCAGTCAGTGTTTGATGGCGTTTTAACTTCCGGCAGTATACTGACGCCACTTCCGGTTCCAGCGCTATGAGCAGCTGTTCCGGGAAATCTTTGGCTACTAGCCCAGCCTGAAATGTTTCATAAAAAGCAAGTTAAGGATGAAATACTTCGAGGGCTGATTTCGAAAAATTAGCCACAATAAAACCCCAACTTAATCGCGAACGGTCGTTTGGAAGCCATTAAGAAATCGTTATGTTGCCTCGGTTTAATTTGTAGCCATACCATGTTCAAAATGCGGAATATAGGGTATCATCATTACAATGATATTTTGGAACAGTCAATACACGAGAACCAACCTGGTGACCGATCTTTCTTCTACTTAACATGGGAAAGTACACCACTGGATATATACTTTTTATGGAATCATCTATTTGATTGTTAACGAATCAAAGCCAGAACATGAACATTGTTTATTGAATGAATGGGTTATCAACTTTTAAACATAATTGTAGCTTACGTCATACGCCGCTTGTCTCATGAACTGCTTAGCAGAGGGCCGCCAGATGGCGGGAACGGTCAGTATCCACCGGATGTCATCGGTCAGCACTGATAGCAACATAATAAAAAATATCGTAAGTAGTAATTTCTATATCCATCAGATAACATCCATTCTAGTCATTCTAATAAGATTATTATAAATCGGATATCCTTGGTCGTTAATGACTTGAATATAGATAGTCTCTTCATCAATAGCCAACCTTTATACGGAGTTGTCGATACTTTCACTCCGGAATATAAGGAACGACAACTCTAGGTGAAAAAAATTCTCCCTTCGAAAATTGTCGCTCTTTACAAAGAAGCCACAGTTAACATTTATGCAATATAATACTTATAAAGCTGATTTTTGTATGGAATTCGTACAGAAAAACTGACATATTGTCTGCATTACCTATCCGGCCACACTGGTCACTCAGTTCTCGTAGAACATGATCCTTGAAGAACGCCAGGACCAATGAGAAAATCGAGAGAGCCTTCAATTGTCGTCCGTTACTGGCGCCGAGAGTGAGGTCTGTACCTAAATCCTATTTAAGGGATATTTTTCGTATATATTAACTATGTCAAACAATTATCATAACTGTCATTATACATCTGTTTCATACTAAACGGACTCTTCAGTGATGGCAAGGACCTAAAGCGATGAGATCTAGAAGAGGCATTAAACATGGCTTATGAAAAACAGTATTAAAGGGGAGGTAACTAACCCCTTAGATATCGATAAATTAATCACTTAATAAATTTGAAAATTTCAAAAGAGGAAAAAAATCAGAAGAAAATTGAAGTTATTGAAAGGCAGATTGGTTACTAGAGTACCACATGATGTTTATAACATCGCAATGGCTGACAAATGGGTTCTGTAAAAACTTACTGATTCAATCTGTAGCCTCATTTTGAACTTTTCGAAGTATACCCACGAGTTTGCATCATCTGGGTCAAGGTCATGATATGTATTTCTTGCTGTAAATCCAAACGAATGAAACGCGAGGTCAGGGGTTAGCAGAAGACACGTAGGGGTCTTTTCATTAATCACACCCGGATCTCCACCCTCCCATTTCCTCATCATAAACACTTGATTTGGGTCGGAGGTGAAACAGTAAGCGTACCCACTGTAAGTTGTTCCCAAGTCTATGGCTACTATTGCAGAGTGGCCTTGATGACGTCGGGCCTCTGTGACATCACATCGCCACACACCCAAAAGATCATCGGGTTGTAGGACCGTTCCCTCAACCAGTGATGAATTCTTTTGACATGTTTCCTCTATATCTGTCTCTGATGTTGAACTAGGTCGGCGGTCCTTGTTTCTCTGCTCGTCTGATGATGAACTAGGTCGGCGGTTCTTGTTTCTCTGCTCGTCTGATGATGAACTCGGTCGGCGGTCCTTGTTTCTCTGCTCGTCTGATGATGAACTCGGTCGGCGGTCCTTGTTTCTCTGCTCGTCTGATGATGAACTTGGTCGGCGGTTCTTGTTTTTCTGCACGTCTGATGATGAACTCGGTCGGCGGTCCTTGTTTTGTTGACCGTCTGATGATGAACTCGGTCGGCGGTTCTTGATTTTCTGCTCGTCTGAAGATGAACTCGGTTGGCGGTCCTTGTTTTGCTGACCGTCTGATGATGAACTCGGTTGGCGGTTCTTGATTTTCTGCTCGTCTAATGACGAACTCGGTCGGCGGTCCTTGATTTTCTGCTCGTCTGATGACGAACTCGGTCGGCGGTTCTTGATTTTCTGCTCGTCTGATGATGAACTAGGTCGGCGGTTCTTGATTTCCTGCTCGTCTGATGACGAACTCGGTCGGCGGTCCTTGATTTTCTGCTCGTCTGATGACGAACTCGGTCGGCGGTCCTTGTTTTTCTGCTCGTCTGATGATGAACTCGGTCTGCGACTATTTCTTCTTCTCTCGTCAGATGATTGTGATGATAGAGGAGGTCGACGGTTTTCTGGGCTTTCTTCGTCCGAGGTATCACTTGTATGGTAGTTTTCATGTTCATTTCGGTCTAAGGGAGAGCTAGGTCGACATGTTTTCCTTTCATCTTTGTCTAATTGAGGGCTACGTCGGCGAGATTGCTTGTTTTCGTCTGACGAATTATCACGTCGACTAGTTTTCCTCTGGTTTCCATGCGATCTTCTCTGTCGACTTGTTGTCTTTTTCTTTTCATCTGAGGAAGTGCTACGTCGGCAATTTTTCTTTTTTCTGTCTCTCGATGACACGTCAGCACGTGTTTTCTTTCCGTCATTGTCTGATGAAGAGCTGCGCCAACGAGTTTTCCTTTTACCACCATCAGATGATGATCTGTGTCGACGAGAATTCTTTTTTCCATCGTCTGATGAAGCGCTACGTCGACGAGATTTCTTTTTGCCTTCGGCTGATGAAGACCTGCGTCGACGAGAGTCCTTTTTGTCTTCGTCCGATGAAGTGCTGCGTCGACGAGATTTCTTTTTTCCGTCGTCTGATGAAGCGCTACGTCGACGAGATTTCCTTTTGCCTTCGGCTGATGAAGACCTGCGTCGACGAGCTTCCTTTTTGTCTTCGTCTGATGAAGTGCTGCGTCGACGAGATTTCTTTTTCCCGTCGTCTGATGAAGTGCTGCGTCGACGAGATTTCTTTTTCCCGTCGTCTGATGAAGCGCTACGTCGACGAGATTTCTTTTTGTCTTCGGCTGATGAAGACCTGCGTCGACGAGCTTCCTTTTTGTCTTCGTCTGATGATGTGCTGCGTCGACGAGATTTCTTTTTCCCGTCGTCTGATGAAGCGCTACGTCGACGAGATTTCCTTTTGCCTTCGGCTGATGAAGACCTGCGTCGACGAGCTTCCTTTTTGTCTTCGTCTGATGAAGTGCTGCGTCGACGAGATTTCTTTTTCCCGTCGTCTGATGAAGTGCTGCGTCGACGAGATTTCTTTTTTCCGTCGTCTGATGAAGCGCTACGTCGACGAGATTTCTTTTTGTCCTCGTCTGATGAAGGCCTGCGTCGACGAGTTTTCTTTTTATCTTCGTCTGATGAAGTGCTGCGTCGACGAGTTTTCTTTTTATCTTCGTCTGATGAAGTGCTGCGTTTACGAGTTCTCTTTTTGTCTTCGTTTGATGAAGTCCTGCGTCGACGAGATTTCTTTTTTCTTTCGTCTGATGGACTGCTACGTCGAGGGAAGTTCTTCTTGTCTTCGTCCGTTGACCAACTAGGTCGAAGAACTTTGCTTTCATCTGATGATGTGTCGCGTCGGCATGGCTTCTTGTCAATGTTCTGTTTACGTTTCTGATTTTCTGTGAGTAGTGAAGTTTCTGTTGTTGGCATGATGATACCATCTGCAAAACGTTGAAATATTAAGTAACTCAATTTTACAATTGAATGTGCATTTAAAATTAAAATTTTCCATTAAAGAAAACGCTTTTAAGTTCTAATCAGTCAATGTCATCGACATATGTGAATCCAGCGGCGTTGAAATTGTGCGTCAGACATGTAGCATATTTCTAAAGATTTCAATTTTTAAAATCTTTGAATGAGAAACAAAATGCATATAGGATTAAAAGATACACCTTGGTTCAAAATTCGTTATCTTCGTTGATAAATATTTAAATAGATAAAATGAACTAAAATAAAACAAACCAACAGAGAGGAAGACAGACAGAAAAATAGACAAAGAAATAAGTCTATAATGAAAAAAGAATTGTACGAAACGGTAATTTGGATATTTTCTGAAACTGATCAAAATGAGAGAGGGGAGGGGGAGTAGAGAGACAGACAGACAGAGACAGAGAGAAAGAGACAGACAGACAGACAGACAGACAGACAGACAGACAGACAGACAGACAGACAGACAGACAGACAGACAGACAGACAGACAGACAGACAGACAGACAGACAGAGATTGTGTGTGTCTTTAGAGTCACATTGACCTGGAGATATGTGCCTGCTTTTTGGAAATTCCTTTTGGTGCTGTTTCAGAAATTCCAGGTCAATCGTGTCTCTGTCCTTCAGCAAGCTTCCTAGAAACACAATCAATAAAAACTACATAAACCTACTCTTCAAAATCACCGAAAAAGACTAGTCAAAGAAAATTTCAAAACAGGTCACTTTTCTATTTATGTGTATGAGATGATATCGCGTAAGGCAATTTGAAGCATTAACCGACGAAAATTATGTTATATCAAATTAAATAGTTCAAAATATTCTCTATCCAGTTGACTTTTATTACCTGAAATAATCTTGTTTAATGAAAAATACCAACAACAAAATAATATCTTTTGCAACTTATTAAAAAATCTTTTTTACGTAAGTTGACGAAATGAATATATTTAAATAAATGTCCTATAAATGGCAGGATATCTTAACATATATTCGAGGCACACCTTCTAGAATAGAGTCATATACGCTCTGAATATCTTTATTTTTAAAGGTTGGTGACGTAATTCCGGTATCGACTGGTTCGAAATATTCTAAACTAGAAAGCGAAGACGACGACGTTTTCCGGGTTTGTTGATGCGAATTTTGGCTGTTCTTCTTAACCTTTCTGTTCCTTCTCGGTGGAGGTGTCGGTGGGATGTCGTCTGCTCCACTGTCTTTTGGACTAGATTCTAAGGGCAATAAAGGGTAATTTCATACATTTTCTTTAATATTCAACTTGATTTCGTAAATTAATATTTTGTTCGTTTCTGAATTCAATCTATGATAAAGATTTTGATTAAAAAATATTTTGAAAGCTAAAAAGGTAGTCCATGAAAGAATGAATTATAAACTGGGTGAAATGAAAGTAGGCTATGTCAAACCGGGTCCGCTTTTTCACGGGCTTTAACATCTTCTAAGTCCATTTTTCATCAGCTAAATAAGCAGAAAATCGTGGTTGTTTTGGTTGATATCAATAAACATGGACCTTGACAGCAAATACTGGTAATACGTTGACAGATTGCAACAAGAACTATGATTGTTTGATACCAAACAAAACCATTCTTAAGTATTTAGGTCGAACAATTCATATTATATAAAATAGATAAGATAAAATAAAATAAAATCATATCTTCAGAAAACTTGTTATTTTTAAAGGTATGGAACGAACTTATTTAGGATTTCTGGACTTCTCTAAAACGATTATCGCACGTGTACTACTGTTCTCACTTTGAGGCAAAAAAGTCTTCCGCTAAACCTTCTGATTCGTTCTCTTGTTTAAAAAAAAAACGATTTTTTTTTTCAGAAAAAGGATGTCTAGTTGATCTTTTAAGCCTGTGTTAACAAAACGTTATGAAAATAAAAGATATAAAAAAAAATGGTTCATATTCTTATTTAAGCATTCTTGGAAAATGTAAGATATTAGGTTACCTTTTACAACTATGACGTCATACACGCATTCCGGCATTTCGTCTCCCTCCGGTACTCTAATAATAGTATCTTTAATTTCAGCGTCTAGTGTCCCGTTTAGTTTGAGCTTTATTTCGTCTGTCTTCCTGTCACGTGACTTTTCCGATCCCGAGGACGACGACGACGAAGAGGAGGACGAGCTTGAAGCACGACGTCGACTTTTTAATGGTTCTTCGTATATGGAAATATCGTTTTGATATTCAGGCGATTTCTGTAGTACTTCTCTTGTAGGTATTTTGATTTCCTCTTCCGGCGTCTCGTATGCTCCGTCAGAAAATGAAGAAGAAAAGGAGTGGTTCCAGATAGATTTAGCTTCAGGCAGTTTCTGTGTTTCCGTCGCTTCCTTTTCAAGTTTCAAATCTTTTTTGGTTTCAATCCCAGGTGTACCCTTTCTTTCCACTGGTGAAACTTGTAAAGCTTGATCTAAATTATTCTGAACTGCAACACAAGGGATTTCCTCTATTTCGACATCAGGTCTTCCTTTTATATCAGCTGCAGATGTATCGATGACCTTTACTTCAAATGCGGGGATGTCCTTTATATCGACTGCGGGAATGTCCTTTGTGTCGACTGCGGGAATGTCCTTTATTTCGACTGAGGGAATATCTTTTATTTCAATAGCGGGAATGTCCTTTATTTCGACTGAGGGAATATCCTGTATTCCGACTGCGAAAATGTCCTTTGTATCGACTGCGGGGATGTCCTTTATTTCGACTGAGGGAAAATCATTTATTTCAATAGCGGGAATGTCCTGTATGTCAACAGCGGAAATGTCCTTTATATCGACTGCGGGAATTTCTTTTATTTCAACAGCGGGAATGTCCTCTATTTCGACTGCGGGCATGTCCTTTGTATCGACTGTAGGAGTGTCCTTTATATCGACTGTGGGAATGTCCTTTGTATCGACTGCGGGAATGTCCTTTGTATCGACTGCGGGGATGTCCTTTATTTCGACTGAAGGAAAATCTTTTATTTCAATAGCGGGAATGTCCTTTACTTCGACTGCGGGAATGTCCTTTATATCGACTGCGGGAATGTCCTTTATTTCGACTGGGGAAATATCCTTTATTTCAACAGCGGGAATATCCTTTATATCGACTGCGGGAATATCCTTTATATCGACTGCGGGAATGTCCTTTATATCGACTGCGGGAATGTCCTTTGTATCGACTGTGGAAATGTCCTTTATATCGACTGCGGGAATCTCCTTTACTTCGACTGCGGGAATGTCCTTTATATCGACTGCGGGAATGTCCTTTACTTCGACTGCGGGAATCTCTTTTACTTCGACTGCGGGAATGTCCTTTATATCGACTGCGGGAATGTCCTTTATTTCGACTGTGGAAATATCCTTTATTTCAACAGCGGGAATATCCTTTATTTCGACTGTGGAAATATCCTTTATTTCAACAGCGGGAATATCCTTTATATCGACTGCGGGAATATCCTTTATATCGACTGCGGGAATGTCCTTTGTATCGACTGCGGGAATGTCCTTTGTATCGACTGTGGGAATGTCCTTTATTTCGACTGGGGGAATGTCCTTTATATCGACTGCGGGAATGTCCTTTATTTCGACTGCGGGAATGTCCTTTATATCGACTGCGGGAATATCCTTTATATCGACTGCGGGAATGTCCTTTGTATCGACTGCGGGAATATCCTTTATATCGACTGCGGGAATATCCTTTATATCGACTGCGGGAATGTCCTTTATTTCGACTGTGGAAATATCCTTTATTTCAACAGCGGGAATATCCTTTATATCGACTGCGGGAATATCCTTTATATCGACTGTGGGAATGTCCTTTGTATCGACTGTAGGAGTGTCCTTTGTATCGACTGTGGGAATGTCCTTTATTTCGACTGGGGGAATGTCCTTTATTTCAACATCGGGAATGTCTTTTATATCAACAGCGGGAATGCCCTTTATATTAACTGATGGAATATCCTTTATTTTGGCTGTGGGAATTTCCTTTATATCAACAGCGGGAATGCCTTTTATATCAACTGATGGAATACCCTCTATTTCAACTGCAGGAATGTCTTTTATGGCAACGGACGGAACATCCTTTATTTCGTCAGCGGGAATGTCTTTTATATCAACCGCATGGATGTCCGATGTTTTTGCGGAAATAATCTTTGTTTCTACAATCGGAATTTCACTGTTTTCAATAACGGGTTTGTCCCTTATATTAACATTGGAAAAATCTAAGATTTTAGTAGCGGAAACCTCCGTATCATCAACAACAGGGAAATTCCTGTCGTTTACTGTCTGTTCAAGTGTTTCTTTAGGTTGTTTTCTCATCAAAATAACTTCTGGGTTAGGCTTTATTGCCGAACTGGTTAACTTACGACGTCGATCTGAAGAGGAAGAGGACGACGAAGAAGATGATGAAGACGAGGATGAATCTGAACGATGGCGTTTTTCCTTTGATTCCTGATCGCTGTTTATATCTTCTGAAATACTGCCTGACTTAACTTTCGGTGTGATGTTCACTTTCGGTGAATTTTCAAATGATTTCTTCTCGCAAGCAACATCAGAATCTGACGATGATGACGATGAAATAGATGACTTCCGCACCACCTCAATTTCACATTTAGCTAAAGTCGGTACACATGAGGTTATTTCCTCCAAGGGACATCCGTCTTGTGATTCCGACCTTGTAACGCTTTGACTTCTCCTTGGTACCGGGACAGGCTTTTTTGTCTCAACAATATTCCGAAATTTCTCTTCCTTTGTTGTGTCCTCGTCTGAGCTAGAACTGGAGCTTGAGGACGCGTGTGACGAGGGGTTCTCCTGGACGTCGTCTTCAACTATGATCCGAAGAGGTAGTTCTTCTTCTACATACGTATCTCCAACATCTGGATCGTCCAAATCAAGAAGTTGTTCAAATCTATTTTCTACACTCTTTGAATCACCACCCGATAAGTTGCATGAACTCTTGTCGTTGCTACTTTTTGCTGAGCTTTTGTCCTTTGTTTTGCCGGTGTCTTTCTCTGGAGGATTGTCGGTGTAATTTTGTCCATGAGATAATTCTTCTGAATTGCTTTTCTCAAACGGACCATCAGTATTGTCTTGTTTCAGCAAGGGTCGATCTGAGCTACGCTTCAATCTAGTGTCAGCTTTGGGAATGGCAGCAGGCGATGTTGATTTGGTATTAGGAACAGCTTTCAATTGTGGCTGCAGATGTTCGACGTATGGACCAGCTTCGGTCTTTACAACCACTGACGAATCTATTTTCTTCTCTACCGGTATATCGCCTGTGGAATATTGTGGTGTTTGATTTAATCCTGTCGTTATATCAGCTGTTGTGTAGACTAAATCTGGATCACCGGCTCTAGCAGGACTGGACACGGAACTGACCACTTTCTGCTTGACTGCTTCGGCTTTTCTCTCATCCGAAGCGGTTCTTGAAATCACTTTTGGGCGAACAGGTGTGTCTACAGACAGACAATTGCGGATTAGAAACACTCCCACGCTGACAGACAAACGCAATAACAAAATATATGAAAGTAATTTAAGCTCTTGAGAAACTTAAGGAAAGGCAACATTAACAAAGTATTTAAATGCCCCGATATCAATTATGGAATTCATTAGTTCTTTTCTATATTAAAAATGCCACAGCATCTGTTAAAATGTTATTTTTTCAATGTAGTAATTTTAGGGAATGCTCTTCTTCAGTTTCAGCATCAACCAACCTACAGTCACAGCGCGTTATTCCAATATTTTACTTATTTAAACCTCGGATGTTTTTCTCATAACCAGTTATTTCCAAGTCTGTATTGTGGGAAGACGTAACTAGGTTAGTTAGTATTTAACTTCGTCTGAGGGATTTATAAAGCATTACCTGATTTTTTACATTCTGAATCTGAACTGCTTAGATCAGAATGTGAAGAAGTAAACTTCCGGTTCCGGTTTGAGTTCCCTGTTTTGTTAGTCTTGATTTGTCCAAGGTCTGCTCGCGAGGAATATATCAGCTTCGGCTTTCTTACTGAAGAAAACAAGAAGAAAAAAGATTAAAATCTTATTTTTTTAGATAATATATAATTTGCTTATCAGTGTTTCAGTTTGATTAGTTGGTTGTATTTCTGTTAGGACTACAAATTAACGGTGGTAAACTAAATGATAAAATGTCGTAACAAATAAACATTTCCAATTATTTCTACTGATATTCTTTGGTATAAGTTGTGCTTTACATCTGTAACTTGAAATAAACTTTACCTTCAAAGTCAAGTTGGTTTTGTCCGATGTCGGTTTCCTTAGTGACGTCACTGGGATGTGGGCGTGCCTCTACAATGGAATACAAAACTGTTTTACAATCAATACTAAGATGGTTTTCAATGATCTTTTGCAAGAATGTTTCAATTTAAAAGTGTATTTAGGAGCGAGTTGAAATGCGCATGGTTGGTATGAATATGGGAAAGATTCGTTTGGTGAACTTTGAACTTTGCACTTTTGATATTGAAATCAACACAACGTTACCTAAAGTCTTTGACCTGAAATTGATCAAAGGATATCCGCTACCGGAAGTTTTCACCTTCGGTTTTTCAAATTCAAGTGGAGGTGACGTCGGTGACGCATCATTGTCGTCTATGATCCTACCTGTAATCAAAAGAAAAGAGAAACATTTTATTTACAGTAACAGGTGATAACCTTTAACCTCTGAACCCTTGTGGATCGCACAGAAGGATTTTTTTTCGATTTTCCTGGTTTGTTTTTTTTAACAACCCCGGCAGGTTTTCTGAGTAAGATAGTAATCATTCGAGAGGTTCTGGGTGACATATTATCCGCCATGGGTGTCAAGCACTACTGGGAATTAACACTTCTGTGTCATAACTTTTTAAACCTTTTTTCGCGCGCGTAATATATTTATTGCTTTCTTTGCATGCGGCCCCTATGGTTCCGCTTGAGCTACGCTCACTGATTTCTTTAAACCTATTTTACATACATTGTGAAACGTTTAATTTATCACATGTTATACTATTGACTATATTCACGTATATCTTGTATATTAAATTATCCAACACAATGATTTTATTTATTTATATATGTGTTAGTGCTGAATGAAGTCAAACTTAATTATTCAGTATTTTTCACCAAATAAAATTTATATATCAAGTTTAATATCTAATTCATATGAAGACAGGTAGTGAGAAACACAGGTAAATCTCCGGTAAAAAAACAAGTAAGACTAAGGCAGCCTATATGACACAAGACATAATTGCCTTGCCATTGTTTCCTAAAACAACACCATCCTGTAGTTTAAAAAATGTTGGCACGCAGAGATCACCCCTTCTGACATTACTGCTGGGTATTCTCTGCAGATGAACCTTTATAGTACTATACACCATTTATAAGTTAGTCTAGTTACCACGGTCACTTCTTCTGGGGTCATAATTTTCGATGATTCTGGGGATTAATTAAATTTGTAGCTAATATTCCATTTAATAGCTAAAAAAACAACAAAAAAAAAACAAAACAAAACAAACAAAACAAAAATAGAAAATAATATATCAAAATCCAGCATGATATTCAGTGACGTTGACACTGGCTATAGCGGTCCCTGTGTTCACAATAAGCAAACCAACAATGAAACGTTTCCTTTGATATGTCTGTGCAATAACTTACGGTTCAGTGAAAATTGTTTCTCGTACTTTCAGTATCCCGTGAAGTCTTTTGGTCAGCGATGGTCAGTCAGTAAAATGACCACTACAGGTAAACACATAGCCGAGTCACCATACCTCATTAACATAAATAATTAACAAAGGCAAACGCACGTTCACGTTAATTAGCAATTTGACGCGGGTGCCGTTTTTAAATACCGTAATATATTCATGAATTCACGGGTAAAACCATTCTTCTAATTTCGGGGAGGCAGGTGGTCGTTATTGATGGCAATCAAGACCAAGGTCATAACCCAGTTTAGTACAACTCCGTGAATCCAGGTTAAACTTCGGTTGTATTAAATATAAAATAATACCAATCATTAGTATATATATATATGTACCGACATCACCGTTTTTCTTTTCGGACACTTTCAGCATAAAAATTGCCAATTTGGTAGATTTTCTTCAACTGGAACGGAAATTGGGAAATCACTTAGACCATGGATCCACAACTGATAAAGATCTATCGAAAAGTTGACGCAATTGATTAACTTATTTTTCATGATTGTGAGGGTAAGCATTATACAAGACCAAATGGGTTTATTACCATCAGAACACATGGGTATTTCGGAAATGCTGTTCTGTTCATGATATTTCTAACAGTTGGCCTTCTCTAGATTAGTTATATGATTTGCATCTATTTAAACTGTTTTTTTTTTTTTTTGCATTCATTGGCATATGAATGCGAGCAGGACAAGGGAAAGTTTGATTCAGCGCTTTAGCGCTTCAAATTAAATCCACCCTCTTAACATGTTGACATTCATATGCCAATGAATGCCAACTGAAAGCTGTTCAATGCTTATAATTATCATTTTTAATTTTTGTCTTGTTTTGAAGGAAGGAAACCCCAATCTGTTTCCGCTACTTTTAATATTCCTACGCTGTTGGCGGTTCATGAGCTGGTAATACACAACTGACTTTGATAAAGTTACACATCATAGTAATACCAAACAATGGTAAAAACATATAAATATTAACCTGTTTGTATTATACTATTAACTTTTCATTATTGGGAGATGTCTTTGTATAACAGCCTAAGCTTGTTGCCACGTACTAAATATTTGAAAATAAAATATTGTTTAAAACTGGAGAAGGGGAAACGCTATCGACACTTATGTATCTGGCATTGTTATGCTATCTTGGGACACTGCTAACTTGGGATTATGTACGGGGGCTCTCACTTCCTCTGATTCGTTATGCAATGTCATGACCCGTTTATAATCACTAACAACATTATGAATGGCAGATCACGACTGTTTGAATTCCTTGCGAATTCTGTTTCTTACTAAGTATGGTTCAGAATTAACATGAAGTCTGGTGATGTATTTAGATAGGTCATAATTATTGGACTTCAGAGGTCAGTCAGTGCATCCTCAATCAACCTGTAAAAATTGGTCTAAGATGAAGTGGATGTCAGACACAAAAAATCGTAAGTCAAGAGGGTGTTAGACAAACACATTCTAGACAAACCGGTTGTCAGACACAAACTGTTTAAGACAGAGAGGATGTCAGACACAAACGGTCTAACATAGAGAATGTCAGACACAAACGGTCTAACAGAGAGGATGTCAGACACAAACGGTCTAAGACAGAGTAGATGTCAGACACAAACGGTCTAAGACAGAGTGGTTGTCAGACACAAACGGTCTAAGACAGAGTAGATGTCAGACACAAACGGTCTAAGACAGAGTAGATGTCAGACACAAACGGTCTAAGACAGAGTAGATGTCAGACACAAACGGTGTAAGATAGAGTAGATGTCAGACACAAACGGTCTAAGACAGAGTAGATGTCCGACACAAACGGTCTAAGACAGAGTAGATGTCAGATACAAAAGGTCTAAGACAGAGTAGATATCCGACACAAACGGTCTAACACAGAGAGGATGTCAGACACAAACGGTCTAACAGAGAGGATGTCAGACACAACGGTCTAACACAGAGAGGATGTCAGACACAAACGGTCTAACACAGAGAGGATGTCAGACACAAACGGTCTAAGACAGAGTAGATGTCAGACACAAACGGTCTAAGACAGAGTAGATGTCAGACACAAACGGTCTAAGACAGAGTAGATGTCAGACACAAACGGTCTAAGACAGAGTAGATGTCAGACACAAACGGTCTAAGACAGAGTAGATGTCAGACACAAACGGTCTAAGACAGAGTAGATGTCAGACACAAACGGTCTAAGACAGAGTAGATGTCCGACACAAACGGTCTAAGACAGAGTAGATGTCAGATACAAACGGTCTAAGACAGAGTAGATATCCGACACAAACGGTCTAACACAGAGAGGATGTTAGACACAAACGGTCTAACAGAGAGGATGTCAGACACAACGGTCTAACACAGAGAGGATGTCAGACACAAACGGTAAGACTAACACAGAGAGGATGTCAGACACAAACGGTCTAAGACAGAGTAGATGTCAGACACACAAACGGTCTAAGACAGAGTAGATGTCAGACACAAACGGTCTAAGACAGAGTAGATGTCAGACACAAACGGTCTAAGACAGAGTAGATGTCAGACACAAACGGTCTAAGACAGAGTAGATGTCAGACACAAACGGTCTAACACAGAGAGGATGTCCGACACAAACGGTCTAACACAGAGAGGATGTCAGACACAAACGGTCTAACACAGAGAGGATGTCAGACACAAACGGTCTAACACAGAGAGGATGTCAGACACAAACGGTCTTACACAGAGTAGATGTCCGACACAAACGGTCTAACACAGAGTAGATGTCCGACACAAACGGTCTAACACAGAGAGGATGTCCGACACAAACGGTTTTAGATAGATTAGATGTCGGACACAAACGGTCTAACACAGAGAGGATGTCAGACACAAACGGTCTAACAGAGAGGATTTCAGACACAAACGGTCTAACACAGAGAGGATGTCAGACACAAACGGTCTAACACAGAGTTGATGTCTTAAATAACATATTGCCGATGTTAACAGAGAGTTACAAACGGTCTCAACACTAAGAGGATGTCAGACACATTGTTATAAACAACGGGTCTACTCTAACACAGAGAGGATCGTTGATGACACAAACGGTTAACACAGAGAGGATGTGACACAAATCTTATTTTGGTTGACACAAAGTCTAACACAGAGAGGATGTCCGACACAAAACTAACACAGAGAGGATGTCAGACACAAACGGTCTAACACAGAGAGGATGTCAGACACAAACGGTCTAACACAGAGAGGATGTCCGACACAAACGGTCTAACAGAGAGGATGTCAGACAAAAACGGTCTAACAGAGAGGATTTCAGACACAAACGGTCTAACACAGAGAGGATGTCAGACACAAACGGTCTAAGACACAGACACAAACGGTCTAACACAGAGAGGATGTCCGACACAAACGGTCTAACAGAGAGGATTTCAGACACAAACGGTCTAACACAGAGAGGATGTCCGACACAAACGGTTTTAGATAGATTAGATGTCGGACACAAACGGTCTAACACAGAGAGGATGTCAGACACAAACGGTCTAACACAGAGTTGATGTCTTAAATAACATATTGCCGATGTTAGTTACAAACGGCCTCAGACCTAATGGATGTCAGACACATTGTTATAAACAACGGGTCTACTATATCGTTGATGACCAACGGTTTAAGATATGACAGATATCTTATTTTGGTTGAAGAGGTAATGTCAAAATTATGGCCTAATACAGAATAATGTCCTGAAACAAAATAATGACCTGATACTAGATAATGACCTAATCCAAATAATGACACGAAACAAAATAATGACCTGATACAGAATGCTGACCTAATCCAAATAATGACACGAAACAAAATAATGACTGATACCGATTACTGATCTAGTACCGAATAATGACCGGATACAGAATAATGACCCGATATGAAATAATGACCCGATATTAAATAATGGTTTCATACT